CACAGCCACAAGCACAGCCACAAGCACAGCCAGCCTGCTTAGCCAGCACATCCCAGGGCACTGCTCCCTGCAAGGTGCCACAAATGCCAGGAGAGAGGGTTCTGGAAGGAATGGAACACAGTTGACTGCAGGTCTGGCAGCTGGTCCCTCCAGGACATCCATATTGGAGGAAATTAAAGTTTTTATAATGCATGAGGTACAATGCTCAGTTCAGGTATTTTTGTAACTCAATTACTTTTGGGAAAAAAAAAAAATCTACCTGGGGAAAACCATCCTTTGAAATGATCAGGACGTTTCCTGCCCAAGCGGACACTTTTGCCTTCTTCTGACTCTAAAAGTTCTGCTCGTTTGGGGATTTTAGAGGGGTGGTTTTGATTGGTTTTGGCATTTTATACTCAAGTTGGCCTCATGAAATCACTGTTCAGTTCACGGCCCCAGGGCCAGGACAGGTGCCAGGGCAGCAGAGCTGACTGACAGCACAGACAGGCAAGTCCTAAACACATCCCTGCATTCCTGCAGGTCAGCACCCCTGTGTTCTCCACCCTTAGCAGACTTCACCTGGGGCAGGTATTTTATCTGAGGCCAGGGCATATCATTCAGTATCTCCTTTAACATTCTTTCCCATTGTTCAAACCCAAAACCTTTTGCCTTGTGCTGCACACRATATCCCCTTTCAGCTGAAATTAATGACTTCTGTCTACAACCTACATACTAAAATCTGTCAGAGCTTCCCTAAAGCTGCAGCAAAGCAAGGGAACTGAGAATGTGAATCAGCTTCTTTTAATACAAAACCCTTCTGTGTGGGCTGAGCTGAAAAATTCATGTGTTTTCCACCTAACAGAAGTAAACCCCAGAGTCAGGTTCTATCTAGCCGCCCCAGAACTGCAATTAAARAATCCAACTTGTTGTGCCCACACTATCACTTTTCCCCTTTTGTTCTTGTGCGTGAAAACCTCGAGGACAAGAGGGAATTCTGGATCTGATCAGCACTCCCATATGATGTGAAAGTGAGAACATGCCCCAAGTAACACAATAAAATGATAAAACCATTTTTGAAAAGGTTCAAATATTCTCACTACATAACAGGAACAACAGCAAAACCAAAACAAACAAAAAAGATCACAAAAAGTCCTTCATTAAAATAATGATTCTATTAGTAAAGCAGATGCAGTTCCCAAGGAAGAAATGCTTCAGTGAAAATCACTCTCCTTCCAGCATCACCCATTTCCAGAAAGAGTCACATTAAAGTTCTGATCTCTAAAGACACCGAAGGTTTGTTAATCAAACTGCTGTGTTCACCTTTCCAGATCTGAAATGTCACTCTGCCTCCATCCAAAATCTGACAACAATTCCTTTTTTGTTAAAAGTTGAAAGAGCACCAGTTCACACTTACTGGCCAGACTGGAAGTCCTTCTCRTTCACCACAGCACAGTTGGTCAAGGACAGCTCATCAGTGGGACATCTCGCTGCTTGCATAGGCTACAAGAGAGAGGGGGGGAAAATGTCAAATGAAATTCTCTTTTTCCTTTACTAAGCCAAGCCCCAGGATGTCTGCAAACCCATAAAGCACAAAACAGGTCTTGTGAGTCCTGGCACACTCTGAGAGCTCAGTGGTGTCAACAAGCTCCTCTCCCAGGTTTCTCCAAACACTTCCATGTGTCACAGGTACTTGTACCCCAGAGCTTTGCATTTTGGGAGTATCATGTATTCTGTTTTTTCTACTCTACCTACAATAAATAATTAAAATTACCTGGGAGAAAGCCTGGAAGGCAAACACTGTTAACCCTGGCACTCATGAAGCTTCCCCGAATGCTGCCACGCCAGGCTGGGTCAGAGAGACCATGTGATGAGAAAGAGTGAGATAAGATGGGACACTCCCTCTTCCCTGAAGGAATTCCCTCAGAAAACTGAAAATTCAGCATATCCATTCTGCATATACCCCTTCATCCAGTGCAGTACAGGGCAKGCTTAATGTCTAGTTAAACCACAGCAAGGTTCAACCTCAGCCAGCTGCTATCCAACCCCACAACCCCTCTCTTTGCACCACTTCTCAAAAGAAATACCACAGAATATCACGATGTGAACATTTTCTACTCTAAAGGAAACATCCCAGATCTGTAACGCTAAATAAAATAGTTAATACTACCCTATCACTATGAAAAAAAAATTACTGCAACAAATTTTGCGGGGGAGTCCTCCCCCTCTTTTTATTTTCTAATGTCAGAGGACCAATCCTATTTCAAGAGTATCCGTTCATTTTTGTTCCTTCCACTGTTACTCATCAATCAGCAATTACCAACCGAAATAGCAGCACTCCCAGCCCAGCTGCCCATCCCCATCACCAGCAGGATGGAGCACAGGGGGAGCAGAGCAGAGGGACCTCAGCCCCATCCTACAGCATCCCCACCTGCTCCTGCAGAATTGCACCACAAAACAATGGCTGAACGATGAAAATTGGGATCAAAATGACTCCAGAAACAGAGAAGAGATGGAAAAGGCAGGATGTTTCCATCATTAGCTATACATGGAAGAAATTTCATTTGGGGAAAAGCTAAACTTGCCCCCCAAGGTGTCATTTTCAGAACCAAAGCACAGCTACCCCTATCAGATACAAATTTGCACGCAGCACACCAGAAACTATTTGACAGCRTCAGCCTACTGCTGAAAGCAATTCAGGATGGATTTTCTCTTAAGACACCCTTAAATCCCAGCAGCAAGCGCAGGAAAYGCACTGATCCCAACACACACATCCAAATCATTTCCCAGGAGTTATTGTCCTGCTCAGCCTTCCTCCCCCAGCTCCTCTGGGACAAGAATCAGAGAAATTCCCCCTGAGTGTGGCCTGCAGTCAGCCTACTCTAAAGCTCAGATCAACTTTTATGGCACAATGTGATTTGTCTCAAGTACTTGCTGTTTAGAAAAGGACCAATTCATTACTTTTACTGAATAATGCTCAATTGCCTTTGACATGTGTGACAACCAAAAATGATTCCATTTTCAGYCTTGAAACAGATTTATCTACCTGAACGCTGAAATGTAATAAAAGACTCAAAATACTCTCACAATAAAATATATGACATCAGTGGATTTCTGAGATACACAGCCTGCCTGCTGAGGCCCCTCAGCTTGGGGCAAACATTCAACATTTTATCACTTCTCCTTCCCTCAGCAGGGCACGGTTTTTGTGAAGGACATGCCCTGATAAAACGCATTACAGGGGATATTTCCGGAGAAAACTGGACACGGAGCTCCTGGATTAAACCTTTTTACAGCACCAGTCCTCAACTGCATTTTTAATCCCCAGTGACAAACTGCTTCCTACACACAGCAAGCGCCTGGCCAAGCCAACACTCCCGGCTGCGCTTTAGGAAATGCAGGAATACCAGGGAATGCATTCCAAATTCAGCAACGACTGCTCCCCTTGCAAGCTCTGCAGCAGGGCTGATGGCAAAACACCCTTGGGTGTCTGACACGTAAAATAAGGTGGCTGCTGTTGCTGCAGCACCAGCAGTGCCAACCATCCCCGAGCCTGGCTCATCCTCCTCCTGGCAGAAACCCATTTCTCCCTGGCAATCTCCAACATTTCAGGCAGCTTCTCTGCTCCCGGCTCTCCAGTACACACCCTCCCCTCCAGCTCCCAAGATCGTGCAGATCTTCAGAATGTCATCTTTATTCAAAAAAGGTTTGAACATCACACAGCTGAAACACAGGGGCGTGCGTCACTCCCCAGTGTGGAGTTCCACAWGGGTGCAAGGGACAACTTGGGGAAATCAGGTCAKGGAAGAGKTGACAATKAAACTGGAAATCACCTGGGCAGGAAGGAGGAACACACTGAGCTGCAGGGGTCTCCTCTTACCTGCCCTCCCACAGAGCTGCTGCTCACAGGGAAGGATYCCTGTCTCTGCCAAATAGCAGGRTTGTCACAGCMAGGACAYGGGCACAGGCTGCTCCTGWGGAAGCTTCCCTGGCACAAAYRCAGGCTGGAACACATGGTTGGCACATGCCAGAGGTGCTGCTGTCAGGAACACTTGTTCTTGCATTTTGGGCTCCAGCCTCCCAGGACAGCAGCAGAACCTGCCCCTCTCCTCTCCCTGCCATCCCACACCCACTGCCTGCACTGACACACCACATAAGGGAASAGGGGCAGAAAAATCCTTGTGAGTATTTCTAGGAATCTCAAACCAGATTTACACAAACTCATTTTAAGCAATCTGACAGGTTACTGCTGGCAAGCAGGTGAGGCACAGCTCTAATAAACCAGAGAGCAGCTCCTGCAGGTGACAGCAGATGCCACCTGCTGCAGTCACCCCCTGGCAATGCCAGGCTGGAGGTGACCCACACACCCTCACAGGGTGCTGTTACACCCATGTCCACAACATAGATTAACTGAGATTAAAGAAGGGAAATTAGGCTCAAACAGGCAAAGGAACCTTCACTGCCTCCAGGTATTGCTCTGGTTTACACAAAGAGGAGACTCCAAGGACAGTGAAGTCCTAAGGAGGTGACTGCACACTGTTAAAGCATTCCCAGCTACAGCATCCATCATCCAGCAGCAGCCAGGCAGCACCTGCTACTAAACCCAGGTCTGTGTACAGGCCTGCTCCATCATTCCTTCTGTTTGCCAAGCCCATATGATGCACTGATRAATCTCACTCTGAGACAAAGGTGAAGGACCCCACCTCTGGGTTTGTGGCAAAACAGTAACATTGCCTCAAAACCCAGGGGGCTCAATGATATTTTACTTTTACAAAGAGAAATTSCCTAGAAGGACAAACAGMTACATAATAGAAACAATCACCATAACAGCTGATCTTTCAGAGATTTTTTTTTCCAAAGCTGCAAGGACTCGGTTTCCTCACGAAAAAAAAGAAACAAATTGAAAAAAAAATATATATGTTCACAAAAAATCACAGAACAGTTGGGGTTGGAAGGGCCCTCTGGAGATCATCCAGTCCAGCCCCCTGCAAAGGCAGGATCACCTGGAGCAGGTGACACAGGAGCATGTCCAGGTGGGTTTGGAATGTCTCTATGACCTCCCTGGGCAGTTYRTTCCAGTGCCCTGCTACCCTCAACYGGAAGAAATTCTTCCTCATGTTGAGGCAGAGCTTCTTGTGGTTTAGTTTATGGCCAWGTTGTTGCATTTTAGAAGACCTGAGCCCAGAAAGCGGTGCTGTTATTTGGATRTTTTCATATATACACAAACCACACATTTTGTGTTTTGTCAATTSRCCTCTGGTGGATCATTAAGGCTGACAGCAGAGGAAGCCAAGGAAGCACATGTTTCTCCCCACAGAGATAAGGTGCTCGTAATGACCAAAATGCACTCATGACAGCTGTTACTGAGAAGAGCTAAAACATTAAATGCTAAGGCAGAGATGCTCCTGATCCAAGCCATCTGAACTCATTTCAATTCCTAATGCTGAGCAATAGATTATGAAACAGCATCTATGAGCRAGACTCTCAGGACAGCAAAGTCCTAAGGAGGTGACTGCACACKGCTAAAGCATTCCCAGCTACAGCATCCATCAYCCAGCACCAGCCAGGCCAGCTGGGAAGAGGAGGCCTCTGCAGYTCAGTGTGCTYCTCCTTCCTGCCCMGGTRATTTCCAGTTTAATTGTCACCTCATCCATGACCAGATTTCCTCAAGTTGTCCCTTGCACCCTTGCGGAATTCCACACCATGGAGTGACATCCCTGTCTTGTGGCTGCATGATGTTAAAACCTTTTTTGAATATACATAATGTTCTGAAGATCTGGAAATCACATCAYAGCCAAGGCAGGCTTTTGTGGGAATAAGAAAAGCCTTATAGAATACGAGCCTTTTTCACTTTTGTTAAATCCTGTTCACTTCTGCTCATTCTTGCTCACAGAAAGCACTCTGGGAAARGTTCAGCRACAGGTCATAGAAACAGAGWACAAAKTGTAGAATGAGAGTGTGGTCACCTCGTGCATGGGGCAGTGAATGGTTGGTGAGACACGTGGACACCACACGATTGAAAAGCATCTGGGAAGGGATGGGCTACCAATGCGTGCCTGTCTTGCTTGGCTTTGGAGCATAAAAAGGCTCAGGTTTTGGCAATAAATTATTTTCTTCAGAGCAAGCAAGAAGGAGGTCCATGTGTCTTCATTCCCCATTGCTACAGGGTTTGTTCTGAGCGCTGTTTTCACATGGTTCACACAGGACAGATGTTGTTGAAGTAGTGTTTGTTTAAAATCTTCCTTTGTGTGAAACAGGCACAGACACACATCCCATGTAGATGCAGGTGCACAGAGATGGAATTTCTGGCACACAGGTGCTGGCAGAGGACTGTCAGGAAATGTGACAACTCTGGGTACCAGAYATTTCCGTTTCCCCTGCAGAGCCCACTGTCAGCTGCATTGAGATGGGGATCCCTGCTCCAAAAAGCTTTTCTCTAACAGCTGTTTGGCACCAAAGTGTCTCCAAGCCCAGAGCCTCGTCACCCACAGAGGGCACAGAAG